CCCGCGCTCCGCTGCGGCGGCCCGGGGTTCTTGGGTTTGGATCCCAGGCGGGCACCGACACACCACTTGTCAAGCCATGCTGTGGCAGTGTCCCATATAAAGTAGAGGAAGATGGGCATGGATGTTAGCCCAGGGCAAATCTTCCTCAGTGAAAAGAGGAAGATTGGCAACAGATGTTAGCTCAGGGCTGGTCTTCCTTACCAAAAAAAAAAAAAAAAATGATTGCTAGGAAAAAAAAAAACCCACAAAACTCAACATAGGCAGTAAGTAGTAGAAAGGAGTCTCCTAAAGAAAAAGAAAAGTTGGTCAATTAGAAAATCAATTCAAGAAACTCTGAGAATCTGGAAGAAAAAAGGCAAAGTAACAGAATTAATGAAAAAAGATAGATGGATTTGGAATTCTAATCTCCATATAACAATAGTTGTAAAAAGAAAAAATAAGCAAGTAAAGGGAAATCAATTCATAAAAAAGCAGAAGACAATTTCTTTGAGCTGAAGAAAGACTTGAATTTTCAGATCAACAACGTCATGGAAGATTACCAAAAAAAGAAAAAAGACCTATACTTAGATATAGCTTCATCAATTCTTTCCAAGAATAAAGAAAAACTTACATAAAAATCCTTAGCAAACAAAAACAGATTACCCACAAAGGAAAAATAACTAGACAATAATTGAATTTCTCATCTGCAACACTGGAGGCCAGAAATTTATGAAGCAATGTTTGTATATCCCAAGATGAAAGAATTGTGATTGTGACCTCAGACTCTCACACCTAGCTAAGCTTTCCTTTATGTGTGACAGCAAACCAAGGACATGCAAGTTAAGACATTTAAGGTCTTCAGAAAGTAAACTCTTTCTGAAAAGCAACAACAAGTATTCCAGCCAAATGGGAAATTAATCACATTAAATAACTCAAGAAAGGAGAAGATATGCTATAGAAAAAATTATGTGAGCAATGAAACCAATTAAAATCCAAGATTATAGATAACAAGTGGGTTATAATGTGATTTTGACACTTAATAGCTGTTAAGAAAGGATGCTTGGAATAGAAAAGGCATAAAAAATTTGGTAATAATCTAGAACCAAAATTTCATGTTATTTCAACTAAATTAGAGTGTGGGTAGGGAAAAAGGAGAGAAGAAAAAGTATGCTAAAGGTTTAATCTTATCTGGAAGACTAGTTATAATCTACTCTTGATGGTGAGATACACACACATACACACATATGTTCTAATATGTTTGTTAAAAATCTAAACAAGAGTAGAAAGAGGAAATATATTGAGATATATGTGTGTGTGTGTGTGTCTACTCTACAAAGAATACACATTTTTTAAAATCCTAGTAATATGCTGTCCAAGGATTATGGTAGACCCCAAAGAAAACCTCAATATTGTCTCAGATATAGAACTCTTACATATCAACTGATCATAATGTAGAAATTAACATCAAATGTAGAAACCAAACATGACAAACCACTTGAAAATTTTAGAAAACACTCTTTCCAAAACTCTTCCGTCAAAGACAAAATTTTCCAAAAGAGAAAAGACTGAAATTATAGATATTTGAGAAATGACTGAGTATGAGAACACTACTTAAAGTTATGGGATGCACCCAAAGTCATATTCAGAGGAGCTTATTAAAAGGATAGCAAATAAATGAATTAAATGTTCAATTCAAGAAGTTAGACGATGAATAATGACAAAAATGTAGAAGATAGAAAATGATGATAAAAACAAAAAGATTAATTAGAAAAAAGGAAAATACTAATATCTGTAAGCAATATAAGGAAAGACCAAAAGCTAGTGCTTTGAAAAGATCACTAAAATAACCACAAAGGGCCGGCCCCGTGGCTTGGTGGTTGAGCGCGTGCGCTCTGCTGCTGGTGGCCCAGGTTCGGATCCTGGGCGCGCACCGACGCACCGCTCCTCCGGCCATGCTGAGGCCGCGTCCCACATACAGCAACTAGAAGGATGTGCAGCTATGACAGACAACTATCTACTGGGGCTTTGGGGGAAAAATAAATAAATAAAATCTTTAAAATAACCACAAAGATACAACATGAGAAATAAGAAAGGCAATAAAATTACCGGTATAGAGATTTTTAAATTATGAAAGATAACTCAGAATGAACTGGAAAATTTTCCAGAAAATCTGACTAATGATCAAAAACAGACCAATACCATGGAAAAAAATCTACTATCCAAAAATGGCACCAGTCCCAGATAGTTTTTCAAGAAACTTCTATAAGTCTGAATTGCTTATGTTCTTTAAACTGTTCTAGAGCAGAGAAATTATAATAGTAAGATTTTAACATTTACTAAGTACTTACTATGTTCTAGGCACTATGCTAAGCAATTTATATATATTATCATGTTCAAAAAAGGAAAGCTTACAAATTCATTGAAAGAGATTAGTATAAAATGGATAAGAAAACTTAACAAAGAAATCACATATATTCATAAAAATTGATCACATGTATAAATATAGATAATAGCTTAAATAAAACAGTACTAAATGGAATCTAACTATGAATTAAAATAGTAGTATATCATGAGCAAATAGAATTTTTCTTCCCAGGAATTAAAAAATAAAGAAACATACTGATATATCTCATCATACTAAAAGGTGAAAGGACCCCTTCATAGAGTCCAAAAGAACACCCATTCCTGAGCTAAAAATAAAACAACATAACAGCAACAACAAAACTCTCAGTAAACTAGAAATGGGAGGCAACTTTCCTAATGTGATTTTAAGTTACCTTAGGAAGTCAATAATAAGCATCATACTAAACAAGAAAAGATAAGAAACTTCCTCATGAAAGAAAGGAACAAGATAGAGTTGCCTTTTCTAACCACTTCTTCACATTATTCAATATTGTTCTGGCCAATGAAACAAAGCTACAAAGAGGTAATGTGTAAAAGCTGGAAAGAAAAAAGGTTCTATTATTTGCAGATATGACTGTTCACCTAGAAAACCCAAAAGAATCAACTGAAAAACTTATAAGAATAAAAGAGCTCAATAAGATGGCTAGATATATTAATATACATAAATTAAGAGCATTAGTGAATGTTAATGATAACCAGTTAGAAATTACAATGGAAAAATATTCCATTCACATTATTAAATATTATAAGTTTAACTCTAATTTAAAAGTTCAAGACATCTGAATAAACCTATAAAACCCAAAAGATATAACCAGAGATGAGGACAATTTTCCCCAGATTTAATGCGATTTCAATCAAAATCCCAATGAATATGAAAATTGTGAAACTGCATAAATTATAAGAGCAAAAGAAAAGCAAAATTATTTTTGAAGAAGAATGGGAACTTGCCCTATCAAATATAAACCTACAGACTTCCTTACCACAGTAAAGATTAGCGTAGGAATAGTCAGATCACTGGCACAGAACAGAGATTTATAAACACACCCATGACTACATGTGCATTTAGTACATGATAAAAAGGGCATTTCAGATCAAGGCAAGAGTGGATTATTCAATAAAAGTTGTTGAGAGAACTGGTTTTCCATTTGGAGAGAAAAGCAAAGTGAGGATTCCTCCTTATACCACGTATAAAAATAAATTCCATAGGAATTAAAGACAATTATAAAAACAAAACCATGAAATTATTAAACTAGAATATGTGTAAGAAAATATTTTTTACATTGGAATGGGAACAATCTTTCCTAGGATGATCAAAGCCAGATACCATAAAGGAAGAGATTGATGGATTTGACTATATAAAACTAAAAACTTAAACACAATACCTCATATTAAACAAAATGACAAAGGTCAACATGGGAAAAACAGGCTATTATAATTAAAGAGACTAATTCCTCAAAAGGAAAAAAAAAAACAAATAGGCAAAGGACTTAAATAGGCAATTCACAAATGAAGAAACATAATGGCCAATAAACACATGAAAAACCACTGAACCTCAACCTTAACAACATGCAAAGAAAACCAGATTCAAATGATAATATATGCTGTTGAGGAATCTGGGTAAATCGCATTCTGGTGGTGCAGGTGGTAAATTTCCAAGCAGGAAGCAAGCCACACTCAGTTAGGCAGTGATGTAGCTCGAAGTGTGTCCCCAACGGACAAGAATACTTGCACTTTGCAAGCAGATCCCCCGGAATGAGTACACACAGAATCTTATACAAGCAATCTATTGGGGTCAGGGGAGATCAAAAGTTCACATAGATATGCTACCTTTTGGCTAAAAGGGGGAAAAATAAGACCTCATAAGACTATATACGTCCATCTGTGTATTTATTCACAAAGAAACTCTGGAAACATTCAAAACTAGTAACAATGGTTAAGTGGATAGGGGGAGGAAGAAGTGGTGGGAATTAGGCAGAAGGGGACAGAGAACTGGAGACTCTGACTTCTCTCTTTATAAATTTTGTTTGCATCTTTTTGAATCATATAAATGTATTATCTATCAAAAAATTGAATTAAAATCTTGTGTTTAATAAAAATAACCAGAGTTGATTTTTTTTTCATACCAACAATCCCAGATAGCACAGTGATAATGGTTTTGACTTTTCAGACAGCAAGTAACTGCCTGCATCTCATCCTAGAATCCAGCTACACGGAGACCCCAAGGCAGCACTTATGGAAAATTCCACCCTGAGACTTTCTAAAGGGCAGTTTGGAACATGTATCAAAATGTAAAATTTCCATACCCCTTCACCCAGCAACGGCATTTCTAAAAGTTTATCCTAAAGAAATTACTAGATAAGGATGCAAAGATGATTTTGCAGCATTCTTTATTACAGAGGGAAATTGGAAACTTTTACTATCCACTCGCGTGGGATAGCTTAAATTGTGGTCATCACCACAGATGCTGCTGGTCTGAGGAGCACACTTTTGAGTTGCAAGACCCTGAAGCTCCTTGTCCCACGCTCCCAGCTGTGTGACTCTGCGGATCTCTGCTCCCCTCACCCTCTACCTGGCTCTTGCAAGGATGCGCCACCCGACCCCGGGGCCTGCTCTCTCACCTAGTCAGCGTAGGGGTGCGGTGGTTGGGGTTGGAGCAGAAGATGTTGTTGGACTTGCGCGTGCCGTCCAGGAACTCGCGCACCGACTGGCTGCGGAGCTCTGCCAGGCGTCGGGCCTCGTGCTTGAGGAACCACTGGTGCGCCTCAAAGCACTTGGCGCAGAGGAGCTGCTCGCACTCGAAGCACCAGAAGTCGGCCGGCTCTTTGCAGCGGGTGCAAACGGCCTGCGCGTCCACGATCTGCCGGTACACCGACAGGCGCCGCTGCAGACTCTCGAAGAAGACGTTATCCAGGGCCCGCGCGTCAGCGCCTGGGGGCTGGGTCGCCTGGCAGATGGGGCACTGCGTGCCCGGCGCCTCCAGGCATCCTGAGCACAGCGTGTGCAGACAAGGCAGCAGCTTAGGGCACTTGGCTTCGGCCTTGCAGCCCTGGCAGCGCAGGAACTGGAACTCCTCCTCCGTGGCTTGCTGGGGGAGCAGAGAGGGAGGGGAGGACTTAAGTCCCAGGAGTCCCAGCCAGGAGACACCCGCCGCTATGGCTGGAGGCTGGAGGCTGGAATGGGACTTCATATTCCATTCCAGGCAGTTACTGGATGATGCAAAACCCAGGCTTCTCAGTAACCCAATCCCCCATTTACTCACTCCACAATTTATTGAGCATCTATTTCCCATCATAGTACCAAGCCCTGAGATACAAGGACATATGGGATACATCCCTGCCCTCAAGGAACTCAGTCTAGATAGGATATACATTAAGTATCAACTTTATACTCATAAGCGCTCATATAAAGTGCTTAATACAGTTCGGTGGTACCTTAAAAAGTTAAACAGGACTACCACATGACCCAGCAATTCCACTCCTAGATACATACCCAAAAGAACTAAAAACACGAACCCAAACAGGTACTTGTACACCCATATTCATAGAAGCATTATTCATAACAGACAGAGGTGGAAACAACCCAAGTGTTCATCAACAAATGAATGGATAAACAAAGTGTGGTCTACACATACAACAGAATATTATCTAGTCTTAAAGAGGAAGGAAATTCTGCTACACCATGGATGAACCTTGAAGACATTATGCTAAGTCTTAGACAGTATGGTTAAGTCAATAAGCCAGACACAAAATGACACATCTTGCATGATTCCACTGATATGAAATACCTAGACTAGGCAAATTCACAGAAACAGAAAGTAGATTAGGGGTTACCAGGGGCTGGAGGGAGGGAAGAATATAAGAAGGTATTGCATAAAGGGTATAGAGTTTCTGGGGTGATGAAAAAATTCTGGAAATAGACGGCGGTGATGGTTTCACAACATTGTGAATATACTTAATGCCACTGAATTGTACACAGAGAAATGGTTAAAATGGTAAATTTTATGTTATGGATATTTTACCACAGTAAAAAAATGTAAAAAAAAAAGTGCTTAACACAGGACCGGCACATGAGAGGTGCTCATAAATGCTAACTAGTATTGATAAGTAATATTATTCCTAGTTGTAATTATGCAAATAATACAAATTACTGCACTTACTGTGCTTTCATGAAGGGGAGCAAAAGGGCCTGGCAGAGCATAGAACAAGTGATCTGAGAGTTCCTTTGGGAGCGGGAGGCTGGGGGGGTCTGTCCAGAAGACTAAGGCAAAGCTTCCAGGAGGAGGACCTAATAAACTCCCTTGGGGATGGGGGTTGGATGGGCAGGGTTTTCCAAGAGAAGAATCCGGAAGACTTCCCAGAGGAGAAACCACAGGAGCTGCGAGGGGTTAGCTGATACACCTCTCTCCTCTGGGCCACAGTTTCACTTTCTGATCTGGGAACTTGGATTTAACTTTGTCCACACCTGGGACACGCCACTGGCTTCAGGCGGGGGCAAGCGGGCTCCTAGCTCCATTCTCCCTCACCTGTGGTCCTTCATCTGAGGCGAGCGCTACCAGGCAAGTCATCAGGGTGCGCGGGGAAGTCCAGTTCTGAGGGCCACTGACCCTCAGCATCTTGCCCCCCTGCTCCTGGAGAATCGCAGCCCAGAAAGGTTCCCCTAACTCATCCCGATCCTCTCTTCTACTCCCGGCTACCCCTACGCCAGCCAAGAGGGTCAGGACCCCTAGAGTCTGGTCTTCCCTCTGTGTCACTCTTTAAGGTACTTGGCCAAGTTCCCCTCTCCCTTCCCACCTCTCCCCCCAACATAGCAAATCAACAAAGCCTAAACCCCACCTCCCAAAACCCAGTAGTACCTCTGTGGGGCAGTGGCTGGGGCTGGGCTGGTGGTCTTCCGAGAGGGACTCCGGGGGAGGCATGGTGGGCGTGTGGGGCAGCGCGGGATCCTGCTGGGACCCCGGAGATCTGGCGGGTGCAGGCTCCTGCTGCATGGACTCCAGCTCAGTTTCGATTCTCGATTTTGATCTTGGAGGGCGGGAAGAGAAGCTGAACGAGACGTGTGCGCCAGAAGGCTGCCTCTCGAGGGTTCGGAAAGAGGAGGTGCCCGCTCAGGGCCCGCCCCCCGAGAGGAAGTGAGACAGAAGCTGGGGGCGGTTCTAGGCGCAAAGAGGCAGGCTGTGGATTCTGAAGACACGCTCAGAGCGGGGAGGAGGAAAAAGGAGGAGCGGAGTAGACGCACAGCGGGCCTGGCGGTCAAAGGATAGTGGCGGGGCTGACCAGGAGGGAGGCAGCCCCCACCCTTGGCTGTGAGCCGTACCTTCAGCTCACACTGGCAAAGCTTTGTGCCAGCCCCCAGATGGGAGCTGGGGGCATGGAGACGAGTCACATGTGGCCCTTGCTTTAGAAGCCCTGATCTTGTGGAAGTAGCAGGCCCCCAAACTGAGATTTTCACACAGTTATTGGGACTGGCTGGAAAGGAGATACTTTAGCTGGGACTTGAAGGAATGGTGGGAATTCACAGGGGATTCAGGGATTGGGGGAACACTTAGAGAGAACAGCAAGTGCAAAGGCATGGAGGCTTGAAACAGGAGAGCCTGTTTAGAAACTAGTTTTGGTTATTTTCAGATTTAAGAGGAGACTTAGGAGCAATGTTGGCCCAGGAGTGGGCTGGGGCAAGATCATAGCTAAGGAGATGGACCAGTTCTGTGGGTGATAGTCGGTTTGGAACCGAGGAACAACATGATCCATTGTGCATGTTGGGACAGTCACTCTGACAATGTGAGACAGGTGGCCTGGCTTAGGAGAATGGCTGTGGGATGCAGAGGAGAGGCCTGAGTTAGAGACACTGGGAGGCAGCGCTGAGTGGAGATACAAGGAACAGGATGATGACTTGGGCGAGAGCTGGAAAGGCTGATGAATCTGAGGCAGTGAGGCATGGGGAGGGAAGAGGGAGAACTGGTGAGTGAGTATGAAGAGGGTGAGGAGAAAGCAAGTTAGCTCTTGGCCAGTGGAGAGGCATGCCAGGCCCGCCAGCTGGTGAGGGGAGAAAGAGCAATTCCAGGTGGCCTCATTGGGCCAATGCCCCTGGCTTCAAACTTCAAAGCATCCCAACCACTGTGCTGACCCTTGTATACCCATTCTGCGCTCAGTTCTAGCTTGGAACAGACTAGAAGGGATGGTGACAGGGCCTTGCTCTTGTAAAGCTTATAGTCTGGGGTGTGTGTGGAGGGGGCATGGGGGGAAATCCAACTTCCCAGGGACTGTGTGAGGACTCATGAACCTGCCCTACCCTCTAGCCTGATCAGTACCCCTAAAGCTTTAGAATCAGGCCATCAAAGTAGGAAAAGCCAAAGATAGTGAGCAGTCATCTGCAGAAGGACCTAGAAGTGGCCTATGGCTGGGGGCCTGAGGGGCTGAGGAGGCAGGACCGGCATGTGGCTGAGACAAGGAAAACTTTATTAATTTCTTGGCTCACTTTGGAAGATAGCCTACCCTAACACCCTGTTGGAAGTTAGTGCTTCTCAGAGTAAATTCACTATTTGTATTCGGGTTTTCTCAAGCCACAGAGAGGCAAGTTACCTGGATCTGGGTACCTGGATCAAGGGGCGTGCTCTTTCTGGACCCCACCTGCCCTGGGATACCTCTGTGCCACCCTCTCATTCCTTACTCTGACGTGCTCCCTGAGGTCTGCACAGAAATTTCTTTCTTTTTGTGCCAAAGTTCAGGCCCTCCCACCCCCCTTAACCACAGTGACCTGGTTGACAAATAAGTACTGAGATCCACTTTGTGCCAGGCCTTGTTTGCTGGGCTGTGGGGACACGAAGAGTAATAATTTGCTGACCATGGCCTGGAGAAACCATAATTCTAAACAAGGGCACCCTGCACAAACACCCCGACCCCAGTGTGTGATTGAGAGGCAGTGCTGAGAAGCTGGTAGCATTTGCTTGACTCTGGAGAAGATTCAGCTCCTGAAAAACCCGTTACAAGATCCAACTTCCCCTCCTGCTCTTTTTCTAAGGCCGAGGGGGAGCATGGAGGAAGAGGCGAGAACTCCTTCAGCCTCCCAGGAACGCAGACCATCCTTCCTCCGCGCCCCGCGGCCACAGTTCGGTCCTCCCAGCGCAGGGGGCGCTGTGCGACGGCGGGAGCCGGGCCCGGCCTGCCTGCTCCTCCTGCGCCTGGGCCCCGCCGCTGGCGGCGCAGGGGAAACCGGAAGCGGAGGCCGGCAGGAGTCGGGTAGCGTAGGGCCGGCTGGTCCAGCCCGGCGCCGTGCGAGGGCGGGGGCGTGCCCCCTGTCAAGAGCCATGCTTGGCAGGTCTGGGTACCGGGCGCTGCCGTTGGGGGACTTTGACCGTTTTCAGCAGTCGAGCTTCGGCTTCCTGGGCTCGCAGAAGGGCTGCTTGTCCCCGGAGCCGGGGGCCGGTGAGTGGCCGCCCAGCACGGCGGACCTGGGGGGTACCGGCTGGCATCCCCAGGCCCGAACTCTTTGCCTCTCGAGAGTCAGCTGGTCTGGCGCCCTTGCACTCTAAGAGGAGGGGCCGAGAGGGGGCACGATGTGGTGAGGAGCCTGGACTGGGCGCTGGGATGCTGGCGCTGATCCGCCCTTCTTAGGGCTTCCGGCTGCAGCCGCAGAGCTTTCTCATCTTCCAAGAAGCCTCGCCCCATCACATTTCTCCTCGGCCCTTATCAGCCCTTTAGGCCTGGGCAGAGGTTTCAAGTTGCCATTTTGCCTAGAAAGAAACCAAGGTCTAGGCATAGGAGGTCACCAGCACACTAAGGGCACTTGGCTGCAGAGAAATGGCAGAATCTTCGCCCCTGGGGGCACCTGTAGACGCCCTGAGCTCCAGTATCTCCCTGTTTCCTGGTGGAGATGCGCAGGGCAAAAAGGCAGGCCCTCAGCTGCCTGTTGTGTCTGCTCTGGCCCTTCTTGCTCCAAAGCCTTGAGTTGTTCCCTTGGCCCACAGGCCAGATCCCACATTCCTCAGCCTGACAACCAAACTCTGGAGGATTTGGTCTCTCCGTGACCCTCTTGTACTGATAGCTGCCCCTATCCAAGAGTTCCTTTCCTGCAATGGCCACATGGGTCAGAGCCAGGCAGGAAAGGAGACTTAGAGGATTTGGGGTTCCTGGGAGGATGGAGCAGAGGCTCCTGTCTGCTTCCTGTCCAAGGTTGGGAGGGGAAGGATAGCAGAGAATAACCTCATCCCAGATTCTGGGGCTGTCTCAGCTCCACTCCCATCCTGGGCTCTTGGTTCTCAGGGGCCAAGACCTCTGGCTCAGATGAGCCTCATCTTCCTGGTTCCCCCTCCCCTACCTCCTACCTGAAGCTGCTTCAAGTGAAGCTTGCATTTGATGGTCCTTAGGGCACTGAAGTGGGGTGAAGAATTGTGAACTAGGAAAGAACATCTTAGCCCTCATTTATGGCTCCTATTGATGAGCCATTAATGCTTTATTCCTTTAGGCTAAGGCATTATCTCCAAAAGGACTCCTTGAAAGCACCCTTCTGGAGCTGATGGTAGAGGAGGAAGGGGTTATGCCAGCAGCTTTCAGTTCAACCCAGCAAGTGTTTACAGACGCCCAGGTGCTCCTGGCTCTGTGCCACATATGCGAAGGCGATGTAAATCATACAAGAGGATTGACTCCTGCTCAGCCCAGTGAGAGAGCATCACATGGATTGGCTTCTCAGATCTGATGGCTGTTGCCTAACAGAGAACAGGCCTTGTGAGGGTGGGACTTGGGACAGATTAGTTTTGATGTGTTTGAGAAGGGAAGAGTCCTTAACTAGCACTTGCCCAAAGATATGGGAGTATGAGGCAAGGAGGCAGATTGAGAGCCCTGAGAAGAAAGGAGCCACTGAAAGGGGAGGGAGGCAAAAGGTACACTTGACCAAGTTCACTCTGCCTGCAGCTGTGCTGCCAGACCCAGTTGGTGTTCCTTGACTGCCTCTGTTCTCTTGTCCCCAGATGTGCCTCAGAGCTGGCCCTCCTGCCTCTGCCACGGCCTCATTAGTTTCCTGGGGTTCTTGCTGCTACTGATCACCTTCCCCGTTTCCGGCTGGTTTGCCCTGAAGGTAAGGCTGACTGGGTCAGCTCCCAGGGTGGTTGGGCCACACTGAGAGCTTTGGCATTGATGGATGAATTCTCTGTCCTCTGCTCCCTTCCCCTAAATATTATATGATAACACTTCTGTGAAATGGGCTGAGCAAGGATTGTTCATTTTCATCTTTCAGATCAGGAAACTGGGCTCAGACTTGTCCAAAGTCATCCTGGGAGCCAGTAAGTGATAGAAACAAGCCTTCCCAAACTCCCAGTCCTGGCGTCAGGACACTGGCTTAGGGTGGCACAGATATCTCTGCCAAATCTTCCTCCCTTTGGGTTAGGCTAAATTAGAAATGAAAAACACTCAACTTGGCCCAGCAGTCAATGAGTAGTAATAGGAATTCAGGCCTCGTTTTCAACGAGGGTTGGTATAGATGGGAAGAGGATGCACTAGAGTTGAGGCTCACACCTGAAAGCTGCGGTGAAGGTGGAAGCCCAGGCAGGCCGTGTCCTTCGTGTGGCCCTAGGCCACAGCCAACTTCTCTAGAAAGCCTTTGGGTTTGGTGTGGTCTGAAAGGGAGTCCTTAGAAGATCCTAAAATCCTAGTCCTAAAACTGCCTCTGAAACAAATACTGTGTGACCTTGGGCAAGTCACTTTGCCTCTCTGGTCCTTCATTTCTCAATTTGGACGTATTTTCTTCTTTGAGGACTCCAGGGACCTGAAGTTGGCAAAGCCCTTTGCTTGGAGTTGCTGTTAGAGCAGCCCCACCCTTTCTCCTAACTAATTCAAGGGCAGACAGTTTCCTGGTTTGACTCATGTCTAGCTGCAGACCACGGAAGTGAAAAGTGTCTCTGAGGATCAAGTCAATACAGTGTGGTAGTTGAGAGCATGACCCCTGGAGTCGTTCAGAACTGCATGCAAGTCTTGCCAGTTTCACTTAGGGGCTGTGTGGTTTTTGAGCAAGTCACCGAACCTCTCAGAGCCTTGGTTGTCTCATCTGAAAACAGAGCTAAGGATACCTGACACTGACCCAGGTGAGGCGGAGAGAGGGAGGAGGGACCAGCCCAGGCTCCCCACTTTCAACCCTTTCCCTTGCCGTTGTCATTGTGGACAGATCGTGCCCACCTATGAGCGGATGATTGTGTTTCGCCTGGGCCGGATCCGCACCCCTCAAGGGCCTGGCATGGTTCTGCTCCTGCCCTTCATTGACTCCTTTCAGAGGGTGGATCTGAGGACGCGAGCCTTCAGTGTCCCTCCCTGCAAGGTGAGGGGCTTCTTGGCTCCCCTGGACAGAGGGAGTGGGGGCTTGTGCAGAGTGTACTGTGGGTGCCAGTACCTTGGCCTGTAAGTAGCCATCAGGGGCGTTGGGAAGGGGTGGGGAAGAGACCAGAAAATTGAGGATGGAGGCTGGCAGGACATCCTTGTCCATATATCTAACCCCATGTACCTGGGGACACCATTTTGCCCTTGAAGAGCCAGCTGCCAGGTGGGTGGGTCAAGCTGGGTGGTCTCAGTGAGCTGGACCTCCCTGCAGCCCCAGCCCATTGAGTGTCTCCTCTTTCACGGCTTCCCCCACAGCTGGCCTCTAAGGATGGGGCTGTGTTGTCCGTGGGGGCCGACGTCCAGTTCCGCATCTGGGACCCAGTGCTGTCGGTGATGACTGTGAAGGACCTGAACACGGCCACGCGCATGACGGCCCAGAATGCCATGACCAAGGCCCTGCTCAAGAGGCCTCTGCGGGAGATCCAGATGGAGAGGCTCAAGATCAGCGACCAGCTGCTGGTAGGCAGCTCCTCACACGGTAGAGCTTGGTGGCTGGCACTTGGGGCTGGCTCCGTCTGCCAGGGCACTTTGCAGAAAGCACCAGATCACTCTGGGCCTCAGTTTACCATATGTCCCAAGAGTGTAACAACCTTTGTAGAGCTAGTGGTCTGGGTGAGACTCTGAGTTGAGGAACAGAAGATGGTCCGGGACCATAGGGATCTTGGGCAAACTGGTCCCTGAGACGTGAAGGGGCTCCGACAGGGGAGTGGCCTGCTTCTGACTGCTGAGATCTTACCCTTCACTGTTCTGTGGGTGTTGCCATGACTACACTGCGCCTCAGGGGCCCTCAGCAGACTCACAGGCAGGCAGGTGGGTGAAAAAAACAGGGGCCCTACTGGCCCAGTCACCTTCTGGAGAACTCTGCTCCACGGTGCAGCATGTGCATTTTTGTGGTTTTGTGTTTCCTTGTTGTGAACAAAGCAAAGGAACACAAGGACACTTGAACCTTTTTATGGACTCTTCTCCATGTATGAGCAATTATCTACACTGGAATTCACCTCAGATCCCTTCTGTGACAAGATGGGGTAGAAATGACTACACGGTGGTGGTGTGTCCCCTGTACCCCACGCTCCCCTTGTGCTTTCTCCCATGTCCTGATGGGAACGTGGGTGAAGTTTTCCCTCATTCCCCTCGGCTCTGCCTTCCCCAGGGGCACTGGGGTTAGGAGGGGAGTGGGGTAATGCCAGTCCTGGAGGTCCCAGTCTTTTCAGGAAGTAAATCAACCAGCTGGGTGACATTCTATTTGGGATAGTGACAATAGCTCTCCTGTGCATAGCAGCTTATAGTTTACAAAGTCCTTTTGTCTGCCCCGGTGTATCTCAGCTGTATATTTTGCTGCAAGAGGGCCCGTATTATTGTTTTGTTTGGAGGGAGGAAACTAAGGCTCAGATGTTATTTGACTTGCCTCTCAAAGCCATGGTCAAGGGCAGAGCTGGCCCAGAGCCAGATCACCTGCCCCCAGCCCCAATCTAGTGCTCAGTCTTGTACAGCTCAGATAACAAGTTGACAATTTTTATCCATGAAACCACAGTCCATTTAATTTACCTTTAGGAAAAGAAAATTATCTCGGCCTTGTTGCATACATTGATTTAGTGCAGCAAAGCTGAAAGAGGTGGTTTGGGGGAGTCGGTCTCGCACCGGGAGGTGGAGTCATATAGGGCCCATTGCCCGACTGAGTTGGCACCAGGTGCAGTGCGGTCGGTGCCTGTGGTTAAAATGAAATCTCAGGAAACTCAGCACACCTCCCGTAAGCCCTGGTTCAGGCAGCGTTTCTCATTCTCACTGCCCTTTTTGTGTCCTTATCATCTGGAGGGTTTGCACACTCCCCACCTCTCACCTGCTGGGCCCTCCTCGTGCTCCAGGCCAGCTGCTTTACCCCTCACTGCCCTGGGCCAGCCTTCCACAGCCCCCACCCATCACTCTCTGCAGCAGGCCTTGCCTCTTAGTCCTCTAGGAGAAAAACTCGAGGACAAGAACTCTTGCAGCTTCCTCCAGCATCACCCCTTCAAACTCATCTATATCTGTGCTATTTCTCTTGCCTCATTGGAAGCTCTGTCTGCTTCCTCTGTGTGAGGCTCATCCCTGACCCGGGCAGTGCTCTGGGCCCAGGACTCGGCTCCCTCCCTCCATTCATCTTCTCTTCTCCCCTTTCTGCATAGACACATGCTCTCCCTTTGTCCCCGTCCCCCTCTAGCTCTCACTCCCCTTCCCTTCTCTGCTTCCCCTCCTGTCCGTAGGCTCCTAAGTCAGCTCTGGCCGACATCACGGTGACCTCCCTCTTGCTAGTGCAGGGGACACTTCTCAGTCCTTCCCTTCCTCACCTGGGGGCAGCGTTTGACTCTGGAGCCCTCCTTCTCTGCTCTCGGATCCCCTGCTTCCCTTGGCTTCCTTATCCCACACGCCTGCTTCTCCCCCTTCCTGGGCACTCCTGCATGTTCTCCTGCCTTTCAGTTCGCGGGTTTTCTGTCAATGGCCTCTTCTCGTCTGTTACCTCCTGGGGAGAGCTCGTCCATCCAGGGCTTTTTGCTGTCTCTGGACACTATTCATAACACTCTGCTCCAGCCCCGACTCTCTCCTGCGCCCTGGACCCATTTATCCGTCTGCCTATTGGACAGTTGGTTGGCTGTCCCCTAGACCCCTCAAGTTTAATGTATCAGAAGAAAGTTATCATCTGTCCCCGACCCACCCCCAAGTCTGTGCCTCCCTCTGTGTGTCCCCTCTGGGTGAATGCCCACACGCATGGTCCGTGCAGGAACCCACACCAGAAACCTGGCTCTTCCTCATGAGTCGACAGCGGGCAGGCAGCAATCCTAGTGCTTCTGTCTGTCTAGTGTCTTGCTGTAGCTTAATATAGTTGACAGCATTGTGCCCCTCTCGGTGTATCTCGGCTTTACAGCCACCTCTCTGCCTGACACCAGATTCAGGTCATTTCTGCCTGCAGTTGGTCTCCATGCTTCCACCCTCAGCCCCCTCCAATCCAGTGTCCATATAGCAGCCAGGAGGATCTTTCCAGTGAGCAAGTCTGCTCTGTCAGCTCCCTGCTAAACTCCTCTCTGGGGCTTCTTGTGCCTCAGAATAAATCCAAGTGAGCAGGTGCAGCCCGCCTCTGACCCCTCAGCTGTCTCCACTCTCCCAGCACACACTTGAGGGTCCAGCTAACAGCTACACTTACTCGCAGTTCCCTGAACATTCCAGGTCCTCCTGTCTGAGCTTTTGCGTGGAAGGGTCCTCCTTCCCCTTTGCCCCTTCACCTGGATAACTCCTCTTTCCCCCGTCCCTCCCCCTCCCTGGGCCTGCAGGTGGGTCAGGCTCTCTCCTGGTTGTAATGGCCCTCTGCCTGCGTTCCCAGGCCGGAACTTCTCAAGGCGGGGTGTGGTGCCTCAGGCACCGCTGTGTCCATGTGTGACCATTCCAGCCTCCCAAAGAAGGTACTCCGGAAAGGTCTGTTGAACGAATTCCATTTCTTCCCACACTGTCCTCCAGCTGGAGATCAACGATGTGACCAGGGCCTGGGGGCTGGAGGTGGACCGTGTGGAGCTGGCGGTGGAGGCCGTGCTCCAGCCACCCCAGGACAGCCCGGCTGGGCCCAGCCTGGACAGCACCCTCCAGCAGCTGGCCCTCCACTTCCTGGGAGGAGGCATGTCCTCAGTGGCAGGAGGTGCCCTGCCCCCGGGGCCAGGTGAGGAGCCTTGGGGAAGAGGGTGGAGGTGCTCACCAGGGCACTCAGCTTGGGGTCCAGCACAGGCTGAGCTTTGCTACTTGCTCCCTTAACCAAGCCCCTTTGGCAGTGCACACCCTGCCCAGCTGTTCCAGCCGCCCTGATTCTAGAGCTCACCGAAGCTAAGGCAGTGAGAAGAGCCCAGGTGTCTGTGAGTGTCTGTGTGTGTGTGGAGGCCTTTGGGAGCCTCCGGGGGAGGGAGCGACAGCACCCAGAAAAGAGTTTTACGTTCAAGGGTGGAGTAGCTTAGAAGTGGAGTTCTGGGGTTAAAGCTGAAACTCAAGGGTGGTTTCTCAGCAGAAGAGAAAGTTGAACACAGGCCTGAAGGGGCTCTAAGGGGAAACTGCCGCGAAGGTGCGGAGGCCACGGTGATCCTGACCTTGGCAGCACGTTGACTCCTCTCTGCCTCCCTCCCCAACCCCGTTGGCTGCCCCCAGCAGACACCTTGGAGATGGTGAGCGAAGTTGAGCCGCCTGCCCCTCACGTTGGTGCTGGGCCCACCCCGAAGCAGCCTGTGGCCGAGGGGCTGCTGGCAGCCCTGCAGCCCTTCCTGTCTGAGGCCCTGGTCAACCAAGTCGGGGCCTGCTACCAGTTCAATGTCACCCTGCCTGGTGGCACCCAGAGCACCTACTTCCTGGACCTCGCTACAGGTACAACTGCCCTCCCCGCCTTCTCACCCACGTTGCTTGGAGCCCCCGCCCAGGAAGGCCTTTATTAGACTGCCCCCTGCTCTGCCAGCAGTGTAGGGTGAACCCATGGCAGTCAGGGGCACACACGCTGTCTGCAGACTGATTCCCCAGGCCTTTGTCTCCCTGCCCTGTCCTTGTCAGCAGGACAACTGCGGCAGCCGAGCTTCCTACCCCAGGAGCCCTGCCCATGTTGTAGGCCTCCTGGTGCCAGGCTCTGTGCTGAGCCCTTTTGTGCCTTTTCCCGTCTGCTTCTCACCAGGAGCCTGTGATTTAGGGACTGCTGTCATCCCCGTTTCACCAGTTTGGAAACTGAGGCTCTGAGCGCTCACACAGCCAACTGGACGTGAACCCAGGGTGTTAGGACCTGAACTCTTAACCACTACTTTCCACTTCTCCCAGTGGGACATGCTAACCCCTTCTTCCCCTGCCACACAGCTGTCCTCCTACTAATGCTCAGTTTTCTTTCCCCCCACAGGGCAAGGGAGGGTGGGACACGGGGTGCCTGACGGCATTCCTGATGTGGTGGTGGAGATGGCCGAGGCGGACCTGCGGGCCTTGTTGTGCAGAGAGCTGCGACCCCTGGGGGCTTACATGAGCGGGCGGCTGAAGGTGAAGGGCGACCTGGCCGTGGCCATGAAGCTGGAGGCTGTCCTCAGGGCCTTGAAGTAGCAGCCTTGGCTGACCATCCATAGCCCAGCCCCGAGCCTGACACCAAGTCAGGGGGATGTCTTGGAAGAGGAGTCATTGGCACTGCACCTCAGAGTATTGAGGCCCTGAGAAGTTTCAGGCCCAGCCAGGAGCCAATAAATGGAGGCTGAGAGACACCGGAGCTGGGAGAGGCTGCGTCAGGCTGTCCTGTCCTCACCCACAGTGTTCCCTGGATAAGCCTTTGCCCATCCCAGGCCCCGGCCGAGCGCCCAGCCCTGAGCTGGGTACACGGCGTGATGACAGGAGCCAGGCCTGTTCCGCTCTGCTGGCTACCTGACTGCAGAGGCAGGGCCCACAGAAACAGCCTGATGGCAGCTGGTTTGGTCCCAGTGTGAGGTGGCAAAGCATGTGGCCCAGGCTCCAAGCTCCAGAGGGGGCGTCAGAGAGGCTGGGAGAGGGAAAGGGAAGGCGGCCACCAAGAAGAGCGGGTTCTGGAGATCGGGCTGGGCCTGCCTTCCTGATCGCAGCTGAGGTCCGGCTAGTGGGGGGTGGGAGTGGGAAAGTATGGGGCCTGCTCCTCCCCTGGCCCTGCTCCTGAAGGTGTCTTGACTCATCTGCCAGCTCTGTCTTGCATGCCTGGCGGGCTGGGGCCCAGGGCAGCATGAAGGAGGGCCCTGCTGTTCCTATGCTTCTTACCAGAGGTTTGAAAACCTCAAATAAATGTGGTGTTTACAATGTACTGGAGAGAAGTGGGGGCATGGGGGTGGGTAGGACGGTCCCCGAGGTGATGCCCCTATTGGACCAGGGCCCCGGGGGCTGACACAGGTTCTCACGATGCTCTTGAATCACCCACAGTTCCCTTTCCTGCTGAGGGCCTCAAAGCCCCTGGGACAGGCGTGGGACACTGTTCCTCTTTATAGTCAGGAGAGGTTTGCCAGGAAAGGGGGGGTAGGGTGTGTCAGAGCTTGTCCCACAAACATTAACCCAATGAGGGGTGGGGGTAGGGGGGCCTCGTATCACATTCAACAGAGGAGTTGGGGCTGCTCTTAGCTTTCCTTCCTGTTACCCGTGGGTCGCTGGTCCTCTAGCAGCAGAAATGAGGAAACAGGCCATGGAGGTGTGGCCTGGGCCCAGCCCCGGGAGCCCAGCTGGCCTTCTGCTCCAGTGCTCCAGCCCAAACCCCAGGCCCCCCAGAGAAGGGGGCCTTGGACTTCTCCAGTCCTGCGAAAGGAATCTCACTTCCTGAAGAGGCTTGTGAAAAAACTCCACAGAAATCTGATCCTCCCCTTTGAGGAACAGCCTCTGGCTTGTCCTCTGGCACCAGGCCTCCCCCGCAGGGCCCTCTCCAACTTCCTTGGCACCAGGCTTTGTCCAGTTTGCCCTTTTGTTCCTGCCAGGGCCTTGTCCCTCCTCTTGTTGGTCCTTCCAGCGCAGACTGCACCACCATCGGGTTCAGGTTTCAGCTCCAGGGCCCCTTCCTGGTGGGCCAGAGCCCCAGCCTGCTGCCCCTGCTCTGCCCCTCTCTCCACTCACCTGGAGGCCACCCAGCCTTCCTCCCGGTCCCCGCCAGCCACACTCCCCCCGTCCTTGAGGCCTGGTGGGGCACAGTCCTCTGCTCTCGCCTGGGCTCCCTCCACTTTGGGGCGGTCATCATGCCCATTCCCCACTGTCTGTGTCACTGTTCTTGCACAAGCGCCTGCCCGCCCTGCTGGACCACGAGCTTCATGTCTGAGCGATCCATGTTTTTTCCCTCTGGTGCCACTGCACACAGCGCACCAAGTGTTGATGGGGAAGCCCCAGGCATTTTCCTTGTGAAAGCTTAGGGGAAACTGAAACTCCTCAGGTTTTTCTTTTTGTGGATGTGGGAGGATCAGCATAACATTCCTGGGTGTCTGAGTGGGTGGCGAGCAAGGCCTGCCACCAGCCATTACCACCCCGGTCCTGTCAAGGGGAACTCATGCCTTGGCGGGCCAGCACTCCAGGAGAGGGAGCCCACAGGTTCAGGGGCCCCTAGGCTTCAGAGGGCTGAGCAGACCTGCCGTCCCCAGGGGATGAGAGGGGCACCTAACCGGGTCAGGGTGTGGGGAGGGAGGGAGAGGGTGTCTGATAACCAGAGAAGGCTTCCTGAGGAAGTGATGCCCAAGACTTGCATTTCCGTGGGCGATGAGAGAAGAGATGGGGAAAGACATGGGGCAGAGGAGAAGCCCCTGTGAGGACACGGACAGAAGAGGCAGCCAGGCACCTTGGATTTGGGGAACTGGAACCTAAACTATAAGGGGGGATAAAAATAGTAACTCACTGGGTGCCAAATGTGTTCCCATACTGGATGAGACACTTCCTATAATATTATTTATTTCCTGACGATAACCTGGGGAGTAATGACAATTAAAATGGTTATATTATGCTATGTTCATATATTAATATATAATGTACTTGATATTATTTTTAAAATAAGTATTTAAATTTTGAACAGCTAATACATTCACCTGGTTCCAAAATTTTTAAAGATTGAAAAGGCATATTATGAAAATCGTCCCTCATCTTCCTGACTCCATCCACATAGTCCCACACCTTCCTCCAAACAGGTATTCCTGATAACTAGTCTCTTGGTTATTCTTCCAGAAGTCTTTTATTTATTTTTTAATGCATATACAAGAAAATCTAAATATATATCTTCTGGATTTTTTTTTATACAAACGGTGACATAGCATACACTACATTACACCTGGAGGATCTTTCCATATTAGCACACACAACTTTCCCCACTTGGTTTTGTGGTGACCGAGGATTTCATTGTATGGATGTATCATAATTGATTTAACCTGCCTTGCATTGATGGCCTTTTTTGTTTTGCTCTTTCAAACAATGTTGCAGTAATAACTTTTAACATATGCTATTTCACCTGTGGTTGAGTTTATCTGTGGGATAAAATCCTAGAAGGGAAATTGCTAGGTCAAAGCATTTGTAATTTAATAAATATTGCCCAATGCTCTCTTTGGGGGTTATTCCAATTTATACTCCCATCATTAGTGATTGAGAGTTTTTCCTCATAGCCATGCCAACACAGTGTGGTGTTAAACTTTTGGATTTTTTGACAGTCTAGTAAGTGAAAAATTGCATCTCAGTGTAGTTTTGTTGTTGTTATTGTTCATTTGATTATTGCCTTTTAAGACTTGGATTTCTAGAATATTTTATGGCTTTCTCCACTATATAGGGGCACAGTCCCCCATCCTTACTGCCCCAGATTCTCTGCCTCTCAGCCAGGAGAGAGGCAGAAGAGAGAGAGGAAGGGAGAGAAGAGGGGAGAAGAGGGGAAAGGGATGGGGGGGCGGTGTGGAGGAGGCTGAGGATAAAAGGGACTTGCCCCCCATGGTCCTCCTCTGCTGGGAGCTGCTTTCCCTGGACTGGGACTCCAACTTCCTTTCATTGAATTTCCAGAGCCCGGCACAGTGCCTGCCATATAACAGGCACCAGAAACTGGTTTTTAAAATTAACTCGATGAATAAGATGAAGGAGTATTAGATTTGTTGAGGAAGATGGAGGTAAAGAGAGACAGAGGAGAGAGAGGGGGGGAGATGGGGATAGGGAGAGAGGAGAGACAGAGAGAGAGAGAGAGAGACAAAGGGAGAAGGAAAGGGAAAAACAGGGAGAAACAGAGACAGAGAGAGACAGACAGGGAGAGGGAGAGATAGAGACAGAAGATGAGGGAGACTTGAGTGGGAGATTGGAAGTTCAGAACAAGGAGAGACAGAACCACAGGGAGACAGGGACAGAGGGAGGGAGTGGGAGCCAAACCGCGGTGCCTGCCTCAGTGGTGAAAACAAGGCCGTGCGGGTCGTCCTGGAGAGACCAGAGTCACCCCTGAGGAGGAGAAGCCCAGGGAGGCCACCCAGGGGCCTCTGAGGGCGCCTTGGCTCCCTGGTCTGGGTCTCCTGTCTCCGTGAAGGGAGCTTACAGAAGCTCAGTCATGAGCTTGTGGCACCATCTTGTGGCGGTTTGGGGGATAGCTGGTTGTCTCATTCCAGACGTAGCTTTCAAGGGCTGGGGAGGGTCCTAGGGGGCTGGGGAGGATCCTAGGGGGCAGTGGAGCTCCTTTAGTGGAGAGAAAGTGAAGAGTAGAACCAGGAGGCCTGATGCCCAGGCCTGGGAAAGGTTCACCTTGTCTGACCATTCCCATGTACGTTCACACACACACACACACCCGTGTGTTCCCAGGCCCAGGGTGGGCTTGGCAGTGATGCGGGTAGAGAGGGAAGTGGGGGATAGGAATTGGCCAGGAGAAATTGGGGGGGTTGACTAGTGTGACCAGGAAACTGCAGATTATGGGGTTAAATCTGTAAAATGGGGCTAATTATATCAAAGGTGTTTTTAAGATCTGCCCAGGATGAGGTGCTATTACTTTTGGAGGTTCCTCCTCAAATCAATTACTAAAATGTACAGAATTCCTACATTAAATATGAAACATTATTATAAAATAATATGAAGTGATTTTTGTAAGTTTGCCTTGGAAATTATTTGACTAAGAGTAATTCATTTATGGTGTAATTATCTGTGAGTTCTCAGCACTCCTGGGGCATTTATTTGCATTCTTGAAGTGCTCACAGAATTTAAAAAAATCTAATCTACAAATTATTTCCAAATGTAATGAATTTTTTATGAACACCACATTTAATAATTACAGATGTTGACAGAATTAATGACATAAATTAACAATTGATGACACTTTGTAGACATCTGATTAAACATTTATTAATTTGGGTTATTCTGTAGTTTGCATTTTGGAGCAGGACTTTTCTCAGGTTTCCAACATTTATGTAGGTCCCTGAGAAGCCTGAGGATGCTGGGGAGTGTCCCTTGGGACTACCTTACCTGGAAAATAAGTGGCCCTGATAACAATTACCCAATAGGAGAGCTATAATGAATAAAAACAGGAAAGTATGTGGAAGCACTTAGCACAGTGCCCAGCAAACTCCAAGCATCCAGTGAAAAGTCGTAGATGTTATTAAATACACACACTCACATATTCATTCACTCACTCATTCAGAAAAATTGTGCTGGGCATGCAAGGTCCCAGGTGCTGGGACAGCAGTGAGCAAGCCATCCGAGGCCCCATCCTTGGGGAACATACATGCGCGTTGGGAGAGCTAGACGTGAACAATAAGCACTGAAAATAAGGCAGTCATACAGTATGTGAGAAGGCCATTAGCGCCTCGGGAGAGGGCCTGGCATGTTCTACAACAGCAAGGAGGCCAGTGTGGCTGGAGTGCAGAGCGGAGGAGGGTGGGAGGAGATGAGACGAGAGGCGAAAATGGGGCCAGTTCCTGTGGGGCCTTGGAGGCCACCGTGAGGACTCAGTGCAATGGGGAGCCGCTGGGGAGTTCCAGCAGAGGAGCGTGTGAGACTGAGTACACAAAGGGCTATGGCCAGATCACATATAGAAACAGGGCTCTGACCTGCGCCCTGCAGCCACCTGCCTGGAAACCAACCCCTGTGTCCAACAACAGGCCCAGGAGGCCAGCCTGCTATCTCTAGCGACAATCCAGGAAGCTGAGCAATAGCTTCTGGAACAATTGGCCCCAAATGGTCAAGACTCGATTAATAATTGACAGGGTCCCTAATTTTTGTTCCTGCTTCCGACTTAGGACCAACCACAGAAAGCCCAATATGTGCCCTAACCAATCACACAGGACACCCCGCTTCTGGTCAGCCCACCTCCAGCTTCCCCAGGCCACCAGCCTC